TGGGAAATGTGTATTGATTAATGTATTCCGTAAAAAAAATGACGTATTAGGTTGAGAGGAAAGGTTGTGGTGTTAAGGGTAGAGACTATTATTACAACCCATTTGGTGTCCATTGTTGTTATTATTATTAACATCTTTATTGACAAAATTAATTACAATTTTGCCTCTTTAATTATTTAATTACTTTCAACTTAATTAATTACAATCCACTTGATTAATTACAACTCCAATTTAATTACAATCAACCAGGTATCAACCAGCCTAATCTGAGGATTTCGATTAAGTCTTATTAAAGTGAGGATAATGCTGGTATTGACTGTCCATTAACGTTCGTGGCTCACGAGGAGTTACATTGTTACACTTATGGCCCCTTGTAAATCGCGTGTTTCCAAAGCCGCTGTTTACAAAATTAGCAGTGTAAAGTTTGGGTTGAGTTGACGGGTGTTTGGTAGACTGACATCTTGCTGGTGCTGTCTCTTGGCAACCCCACACGACCACCTCCCACACTAACCTACCGAATCACCTTCTGTGGTTGATTGTTCAATAAACCCTTGAACTATATGTTTAACGCATCTCTAACCCTGTCCATGGAGGACAGAAGAAAATGTATATATATTCTGGTTAGCATTGTAAATGTGTGGCCACGTCTGTGGTAGAAAATAATAATAAAAAAAAAAAAACTAACCTTGCCCAACTCTCGGTATATCTTGAGGTTATCTTGAGATGATTTCGGGGCTTAGTGTCCCCGCGGCCCGGTCCTCGCCCAGGCCTCCACCCCTAGGAAGCAGCCCGTGACAGCTGACTAACTCCCAGGTACCTATTTACTGCTAGGTAACAAGGTGCATCAGGGTGAAAGAAACTCTGCCCATTGTTTCTCGCTGGTGTCCGGGATCGAACCTGGGACCACAGGATCACGCGTCCAGTGTTCTGTCCGCTCAGCCACCTGTTCCCATATGGACATGTTATGGACATGTTTCAACCCAGCGTAGCCGACAAGCCCCGAAACCAACATCAGGGGCCAGATTCACGAAGCAGTTACACAAGCACTTAAGAACGTGTACATCTTTCCTCAATGTTTGACGGCTTTGGTCACATACTGTATATTAAACAGTTTACAAACATGAAAACTTTCCAATCAACTGTTGTCATTGTTATAAAAACCCTCTTGGTGCTTCGGAGCTCATTAACCGTTTAATAATTGTAAACAAAGCCGCCAAAGATTGAGAAAAGATGTACAGGTTCGTAACTGCTTCGTGAATCTGGCCCCAGGTAACCAGGTGGGTGTGCGGTGGAGTGTGGCAAGATACCTGGGTTTTCTTCCAGTGACTCCTTGAGCACTGGGTCTCCTGGTGCCTCTGGTGTGCAGGTCCAGGACTGTGACCTGGAGGCCGAGTACTGGGTCGGGTTATCAGTTGTTCACTGATAACCATTGTGTTCATTGTGTTCACGTCATGTTGGCCGCCTGGTTTACCCTTCTAGTTATTTTGGGTTCATCTAGTGCGGTGAACTATATGTATACGGGGTAACATAGGGAGGTTTACGTGTATACGAGAACGTGTGGAGGTTTACCTCCTTTCAGGTAAATTACATAGATGAGAATATTACGAACTACGTCATCAAATTTGTGGTTGACACAAAGATTTATAGTAAAGTGGGAAATGGTGATGGTGTTGAAGCCTTACAGAGACATCTACAGGAACTCCACAAATGGTCAGATGACTGGCAAATGCATTTTAATATTGAGAGATGCGCGACCCTGCATGTGGGGCATAACAACCCACGCCACAACTACCAAATTAATAGCAATACATTACAACAAATTGACGAAGAAAATGACCTTGGAGTCAAACTCCAGCACTCGCCAAAATCCAGAACGTTACACAGCAGGTGGAGGCTAACCGGTGGGAGGTTAGCCCCTACCTGCTAGGAGGAGGAGGTTGTGGGAGCCGGTGGCTGAGCGGACAGAACACCGGGCGCGTGATCCTGTGGTCCCAGGTTCGATCCCAATCGCCGGCGAGAAACATGGGCAGAGTTTCTTTCACCCTGGTGCTCTTGTTACCTAGCAGTAAATAGGTACCTGGGAGTTAGTCAGCTGTCACGGGCTGCTTCCTGGGGGTGGAGGCCTGGTCACCTACTGGGTTATATGGAATGGATTATATGCCCATGGAACCGCCTACTCGCCGAAGCCGTAAATGCCAAACCTCTGTTAACTTTTTAAAGTACAGCTGGAAAAGATCATCAGGGCAAATGGTGGGGGGGGGACCTTCGACAAGCCGCCGGCTTCCTGTCCTCGTCGAGGCCACTAGGGTTAGTGACCCTCACGTAACTCAGGTAAATCAGGTGAAACATTTATTAAATATTAGAAAATATAATGAATAAAAAATGAATAGCTTGCTTTTCTCATTTGCAGTTTAGTAAATGATTTTTTCGTCCGAGCATTTGCTAAGGTGTGACATTTTTCAATATATATAATTTCCGAGTGTAAGCAGGGCATCCTCTCTCTATAGTGGTCACGTCTCGCCTGGCATCCTCTCTCTATAGTGGTCACGTCTCGCCTGGCATCCTCTCTCTATAGTGGTCACGTCTCGCCTGGCATCCTCTCTCTATAGTGGTCACGTCTCGCCTGGCATCCTCTCTCTATAGTGGTCACGTCTCGCCTGGCATCCTCTCTCTATAGTGGTCACGTCTCGCCTGGCATCCTCTCTCTATAGTGGTCACGTCTCGCCTGGCATCCTCTCTCTATAGTGGTCACGTCTCGCCTGGCATCCTCTCTCTATAGTGGTCACGTCTTGCCTGGCATCCTCTCTCTATAGTGGTCACGTCTCGCCTGGCATCCTCTCTCTATAGTGGTCACGTCTCGCCTGGCATCCTCTCTCTATAGTGGTCACGTCTCGCCTGGCATCCTCTCTCTATAGTGGTCACGTCTCGCCTGGCATCCTCTCTCTATAGTGGTCACGTCTCGCCTGGCATCCTCTCTCTATAGTGGTCACGTCTCGCCTGGCATCCTCTCTCTATAGTGGTCACGTCTCGCCTGGCATCCTCTCTCTATAGTGGTCACGTCTCGCCTGGCATCCTCTCTCTATAGTGGTCACGTCTCGCCTGTGATCTGAATCATAACATGCTCATTACCCTCCCTCCCCCCATAAAACAGGATACAAATAAAACTTGTTCATTCATTTATAAAACTTAATACTTTCTTTTGTGCGTAAAAATGTGTAAAATATATTATGTGACCGCTGGTCACTCTTCAAACAGAATTGGTTGCCATAATCCTTGCACTCGAGCGCGTATATGAATCCAAGGTTGACACGATAATTGTAAGTGACTCCTTGTCATCCTTGACTGCCCTCAGCTCCCCAAGGCATAACTGTGACGGGCTTATCTCTGAAGCTAGACACAGATATAATGAAATAATCAATGATAGAGTCAGAGTTTGTCTCCTGTGGATTCCTTCCCATATTGGTCTCTGAATGCATGATAGAACTGATGAGTTGGCCAAGACTTTTGCTCATAAAGAGGGAATTGATTACCAACTTGGACTGCCTTTGAGCAGTCTGAGGGCAGTAATATTCCGGTAACATCAACTAAATTTCGTAGACTTGAGGCAAAGTGAAATTCACACCAGTTCCTCCATCTATCATCATTCTGTTATGCAGGATGAACCGCACTATGGGTCATCCACTAAGGTTAGCAGACTTCTGAGCAGTGTTAGCATGTTACCACTGCTAGGCTTAGGCTCGGCTACAAGTACCTCTGGGAGTTTGTAACATCTGCTGATGTAGATTTGACTAAATGTAAACTCTGTCAGCAGAACTATTCGCATACTTTGCGTCATTATATAATGGAATGTGAAAAAAATCGCGGAATTCAGAGATAACACCATCAATGGAGTTCAATAAATGTGTAAGTACTTCATTCATAATGATGTGCTGCCCGAAATCTTAGCGAAGTATCCAAAATTTGCTTACTGTAGGTGCAGCCTGCACATGACAGTAAAGCTGCCGCCCAGTTGGGTGGGTGTGGAGCAAGACTAGTAACTGTGTGACTCACCATAGATGTATAGTGCTTTATTTAGTGACTGTTGTGAGCCTCTTGTTGAATTACTTGTGATACAAAATATTATTGATGTGTGTATTTGTGTAGATGGTTGTATATGTATGTGTATATGTATATTTATTTATATGTACATGTATGTATGTATATGTGTACGAGTATATATAACATTAATAATTGTTTAACTAGCGTCAAAATATTGTTTTTGCTTAGCTAAACGAACTAGGGGGGTTCAGTTCCTGAACCAATTATGTGCCTCTGTAACCCTTACACCACCGCCCACGGGATGGGTATGGGGTGCATAATAAAGAAAGACATTGACTGGTGGAGGAGAGCTTGGTGAGCAGGGATCCCTTCCTGCTGGGCTGGTGCTGTCTGTGGCTGGCCGCATGTGGCGCCTCACCTCTATACCACATCACCAGATTTAATTGATAACCTTTACTTTTATTGAATTATAATTAGATATTCAGATTTGATTGTGTTAATAGTGTGTTTCGGAGGTGTGCGCGCGCGCGCGCGTGTGTGTGTGTGTGTGTGTGTGTGTGTGTGTGTGTGTGTGTGTGTGTGTGTGTGTGTGTGTGTGTGTGTGTGTGTGTGTGTGTGTGTGTGTACTCACCTAGTTGTACTCACCTAGTTGTGCTTGCGGGGGTTGAGCTCTGGCTCTTTGGTCCCGCCTCTCAACCGTCAATCAACAGGTGTACAGGTTCCTGAGCCTACTGGGCGCTATCATATCTACACTTGAAACTGTGTGTGTGTGTGTGTGTGTGTGTGTGTGTGTGTGTGGTGTGTGTGTGTGTGTGTGTGTGTGTGTAAGTGTGTAAGTGTGTAAGTGTGTGTGTGTACGTGTACGTGTACGTGTACGTGTACGCATGCACATCTGCTGGAGTGTAAAGCTGTGTGTAATCCTCCGGATATGTTCTCATTGTTATTTTTATCTTTTCTTACAGAACACTACCGCGAGTCCAAAGATTTCCTTCCGAGGAAACGAAGGGGTAAGTTGTTCTTTCTTTGTCAGTGGTATTTATAATCTGAGGTATTCTGGGGGGGGCGGTGGGAGGGGGGAGACAGGCAAATCGTACACACGATGATCGTTCCACAAACTTTATTTTCTGTACGTTTAAAACCTTAATATATTGTTGGGTTATGACACATTACGTTGGATTGGGAAAGGTCAGGAAGGTTTTACAACCCGTTGGCGAAGAGTTTCGTGTATGATGATGTGACTCTGTACTTATAGCTGCCCTCTGCTCCGCGTGTCTGTTGGATGCCACTAGTCGCCTCCAACAGCCTGGTTGACCAGATCACCACCAACCAGGAGGCCTGGCCAGAGACCGGGCCGCGGGGACATTGACCCCCGGAATCAAGGCAAGGTAAGGGCAAGGTAGGTCATTAGGGTGACCCTCCGTGGGGAGGGGAGGGGTGACAATATGGGTCCGCCGGCAGCGTCTGCACCAGCAAGTTGGGGTTAGAAGGGCGAGTGAGGTGAGTGGAGGGGAGCGGGGGAGAGGGGGTGTTGCGGGTGTGGGGGGGTGTGGGGGAAAGTGCAAGTTGGTGCGAGAGGTGGGGTAGGGGGGGGTGGGGGGTTGGTACCGGCCCGGGCGGCTGGGCCAGGCTGTGGTAGGCAGGTGTATCACTCAGGCTGCTGTGATAATAGGTATTTGACAGGTGTAGGCCGAGGGTGGAACATGTGGTTCACAGATGCGCGAGCCGTCACCTGCCCCCACACAACACCTGCCCCCACACAACACCTGCCCCCACACAACACCTGCCGTCCTCCACCCATTCCCCCGTATATATTTGTAATAAGCGTATGAAGAAAAATGGAAGCGCATGGAATAAGCGTATGGAAGAAAATGTAGAATAGAACCAATGAAGAGCAGGGGTGCCATAGGCACAATCAGAGAACACTGTATAAACATCAGAGGTCCACGGTTGTTCAACGTCCTCCCAGCAAGCATAAGAAATATTGCCGGAACAACCGTGGACATTTTCAAGAGGAAACTAGATTTATTCCTCCAAGGAGTGCCGGACCAACCGGGCTGTGGTGGGTATGTGGGTCTGCGGGCCGCTCCAAGCAACAGCCTAGTGGACCAAACTCTCACAAGTCAAGCCTGGCCTCGGGCCGGGCTTGGGGAGTAAAAGAACTCCCAGAACCCCATCAACCAGGTATCAACCAGGTATTGTGGCCATTGAGGTGTTGGTGTTATAGCCTCAGGTACTCGGAACAAACTGTTGCACGTAGCGCCTTAAGTCCACTATGGCGAGCCCGTAGTGAACTTGCCTGGTACAGGTGTTGGGGCCGTAATTGACGAAGTGTGATATTCAGAGTCTGAGGCGGGAGTGCCTCACCACCAGGAGCCCCGAGGGCCGCCGGGGCTTCCCCGCTCCCACCATCTCACACCCGCACTTACGTCATCCCTCACGCTCTTGCTCCCTGGGATCATTATGCTCCCTGTGATCATTACGCTCCCTGTAGTCATTACGCTCCCTGTGATCATTACGCTCCCTGTGATCATTACGCTCCCTGTGATCATTACGCTCCCTGTGATCATTACGCTCCCTGTGATCATTACGCTCCCTGTGATCATTACGCTCCCTGTGATCATTACGCTCCCTGTGATCATTACGCTCCCTGTGATCATTACGCTCCCTGGGATCATTACGCTCCCTGTGATCATTACGCTCCCTGGGATCATTACGCTCCCTGGGATCATTACGCTCCCTGGGATCATTACGCTCCCTGGGATCATTACGCTCCCTGGGATCATTACGCTCCCTGGGATCATTACGCTCCCTGGGATCATTACGCTCCCTGGGATCATTACGCTCCCTGGGATCATTACGCTCCCTGTGATCATTACGCTCCCTGGGATCATTACGCTCCCTGGGATCATTACGCTCCCTGGGATCATTACGCTCCCTGGTATCATTACGCTCCCTGGGATCATTACGCTCCCTGGGATCATTACGCTCCCTGGGATCATTACGCTCCCTGGGATCATTACGCTCCCTGGGATCATTACGCTCCCTGGGATCATTACGCTCCCTGTGATCATTACGCTCCCTGTGATCATTACGCTCCCTGTGATCATTACGCTCCCTGTGATCATTACGCTCCCTGGGATCATTACGCTCCCTGGGATCATTACGCTCCCTGGGATCATTACGCTCCCTGGGATCATTACGCTCCCTGTGATCATTACGCTCCCTGTGGTCATTACGCTCCCTGTGGTCATTACGCTCCCTGTGGTCATTACGCTCCCTGTGATCATTACGCTCCCTGTGGTCATTACGCTCCCTGTGGTCATTACGCTCCCTGTGATCATTACGCTCCCTGGGATCATTACGCTCCCTGGGATCATTACGCTCCCTGGGATCATTACGCTCCCTGGGATCATTACGCTCCCTGTGATCATTACGCTCCCTGGGATCATTACGCTCCCTGCGATCATTACGCTCCCTGGGATCTTTGTACTTGTTAATTTAGTTATGGTCACTTGGGGCTGGGATCACTGTAGGTGTGGTGGGGGGGGGGACACCTGGGGCTGGGATCACTGTAGGTGTGGGGGGGGGACACCTGGGGCTGGGATCACTGTAGGTGTGGGGGGGGACACCTGGGGCTGGGATCACTGTAGGTGTGGGGGGGACACCTGGGGCTGGGATCACTGTAGGTGTGGGGGGGGGGACACCTGGGGCTGGGATCACTGTAGGTGTGGGGGGGGACACCTGGGGCTGGGATCACTGTAGGTGTGGGGGGGGACACCTGGGGCTGGGATCACTGTAGGTGTGGGGGGGACACCTGGGGCTGGGATCACTGTAGGTGTGGGGGGGACACCTGGGGCTGGGATCACTGTAGGTGTGGGGGGGACACCTGGGGCTGGGATCACTGTAGGTGTGGGGGGGGACACCTGGGGCTGGGATCACTGTAGGTGTGGGGGGGGACACCTGGGGCTGGGATCACTGTAGGTGTGGGGGGGACACCTGGGGCTGGGATCACTGTAGGTGTGGGGGGGGGACACCTGGGGCTGGGATCACTGTAGGTGTGGGGGGGGACACCTGGGGCTGGGATCACTGTAGGTGTGGGGGGGGACACCTGGGGCTGGGATCACTGTAGGTGTGGGGGGGGACACCTGGGGCTGGGATCACTGTAGGTGTGGGGGGGGGACACCTGGGGCTGGGATCACTGTAGGTGTGGGGGGGGGACACCTGGGGCTGGGATCACTGGGGGGGGGGACACCTGGGGCTGGGATCACTGTAGGTGTGGGGGGGGGACACCTGGGGCTGGGATCACTGTAGGTGTGGGGGGGGGGACACCTGGGGCTGGGATCACTGTAGGTGTGGGGGGGGACACCTGGGGCTGGGATCACTGTAGGTGTGGGGGGGGGACACCTGGGGCTGGGATCACTGTAGGTGTGGGGGGGGGACACCTGGGGCTGGGATCACTGTAGGTGTGGGGGGGGACACCTGGGGCTGGGATCACTGTAGGTGTGGGGGGGGGACACCTGGGGCTGGGATCACTGTAGGTGTGGGGGGGGGACACCTGGGGCTGGGATCACTGTAGGTGTGGGGGGGGACACCTGGGGCTGGGATCACTGTAGGTGTGGGGGGGGGGACACCTGGGGCTGGGATCACTGTAGGTGTGGGGGGGACACCTGGGGCTGGGATCACTGTAGGTGTGGGGGGGGGACACCTTGGGGCTGGGATCACTGTAGGTGTGTGGGGGGGGGGACACCTGGGGCTGGGATCACTGTAGGTGTGGGGGGGGGGACACCTGGGGCTGGGATCACTGTAGGTGTGGGGGGGGGACACCTGGGGCTGGGATCACTGTAGGTGTGGGGGGGGGACACCTGGGGCTGGGATCACTGTAGGTGTGTGGGGGGGGACACCTGGGGCTGGGATCACTGTAGGTGTGGGGGGGGGGACACCTGGGGCTGGGATCACTGTAGGTGTGTGGGGGGGGACACCTGGGGCTGGGATCACTGTAGGTGTGGGGGGGACACCTGGGGCTGGGATCACTGTAGGTGTGGGGGGGGGACACCTGGGGCTGGGATCACTGTAGGTGTGGGGGGGGGACACCTGGGGCTGGGATCACTGTAGGTGTGGGGGGGGGACACCTGGGGCTGGGATCAATACGACACACCTCCCTCCCTCCCTCCCAGCAGCATCACAACACTCAACATACTGCATCACACTTGTTGGTCGTCTGCTTCTCTCTCTCTCTCCCTCTTTAGCCTCTTCTCTCCTCCATTCCTCCTTCCCTATTCCTCTATCTTCGTTTTTCTCTTTCTCCATCCTTTTATTTTCCCCGGTGTAACATTGAATAAGAGTGAGTGTGAGGGTTGGTTTAAGTGGGCAGCAGGTGGGAGTTATTATGAAGATCAGTGGGCACGTGTGGGTACGGTCAGTGGGCACGTGTGGGCACGGTCAGTGGGCACGTGTGGGCACGGTCAGTGGGCACGTGTGGGTACGGTCAGTGGGCACGTGTGGGTACGGTCAGTGGGCACGTGTGGGCACGGTCAGTGGGCACGTGTGGGCACAGTCAGTGGGCACGTGTGGGTACGGTGTTTGAGTGGTTAATGCGGTCAGTGGCAGCTGAGTGTGTTAGGCTAGGGTCAGTCTCCCACGAGGGGGCAAAACAAATGAACTAGTTCCTTGGGAGGTGCTGGGCCAACCGGGTCTTATTGGACATGTGGGCCTGGGCCCAGGCCGGCCTCGGCGAGTATAGCTCCCGGAACACGCTCCAGGTATGCTCCAAGTATGCTCCAGGTATGCTGCAGGTATGCTCCATATGCAAAGTATAAAAGCAAACCACTAGGATTATCTTGTATTAATTACCGGTGAGTTTAGGAGTTTCATGTTCAAAATGCCGCCATATATTTCAATAACTGAGTTAATAACTTTAATTAGAAAATATATATACAATATATTGAGTATAACCCAGTTTGTTTTCGCAGTTTACAGATAGTGTGCTTTTGTGTAGTGGTCGTATAAT